GGGGAGAGAGCGATCTGGGAGCGGATCTCGGAAGGGGGATGTATTGGAAAACTATCCCCCCAAAAGGGGGGGAGGAGGAAAGGGGGGGTAAATATATGCCAGATGTGTGCGGAGAGAGGTGCATGCGCCGACGTGACTGTGGGTGGGGGTAGATGAGATGGGTGTGTGGTCCGCGCGAGGACCGGCACGAGCGCATGCCCGTCTGCATGCCCCGGGTTGCGTCCACGACGAAAAGGGGCAACGATCGCGCGGAGGGCGGGCGAAAGGCCCCGAGGGACCAAGTGCCACCGGGCCCGGCCGCTGGTAGCGCTACTCAATCGTGCTGGTGGATCTGCCAGCGGAAGGGGCAGGAGGGGCGGTCAGCGATGGTTCTATGGTTGGAGAATGTGCGACTCTTGACCCACGATTGGGCCGGGCGAATGCGCTTGCCGGTGGCCTTGAAAAGTACCTGTGCCTCGGTCTCGAGCCAGGCGCCCAAGTGGCCGAGTGACTGTGGGTCCAAGGACCAGGCACCATCGGGATGCGTGCCCTCGCCGCCGGGGGTGCCCGGCCCATCTGGGGCCAGCCCGCTGGGAACTGCGGGGTGCCCCTCGGGGAGCGGAGTCACCAGGACGTCCGGCATCGCGGTGTCCAGGTGCCACACGCGTAGACTGTCGGCCAAGTGGTCCACCTGCAGAGTGACCGGGGTCGAGTCCGCGGCCTCGCTGGGATCGACGGCATCGCGGCGAATGGACGCCACTAGGTTGGTGCATGGGCGCGCGCGTGCGTGCGTGCGTGCGTGCGTGCGTGTGTGTGTGTGTGTGTGTGTGTGTGTGTGTGTGTGTGTGTGCGTGCGTGCGTGCGTGCGTGCGTGCGTGTGTGCGTGCGTGCGTGCGTACGTGCGTGCGTGCGTGCGTGCGTGTGGGAGTGGGGGCATGGGGTCCCGCGGGGGAGACGGAGAAAGAAGGCCGGCGGAGGGACATGCCTCTTTGAAGTCAGCAAGGCAGGGCCCCACCAGGCGAAGAGGGAAATACCAAGGGCCAGGTGCGGAGGAGCAGTCAGTGCCACCGGGCAGATGCGCACCGAAGGCAAGTGGCCGAAGGCCGATTGTGGTGGATCGCAATCGCCGACCGCGCAGATAGATCTCCTGCTCGGGCAGGACCCCGGGTCCGGAGGAGGGGGCAGCCGGGGGGGCCTCCTCGGCCTGGCCGTCAGCGGCGGCCACGGCCGGGATGGCCAGCGCTGGGCCGGCCAGCTCGGCCGAGAAGTCGGCACCAGGCCCGAAGAGCGGATCAGCCACGCCGGCCCCGCCGGCGCCGCCCAGCGAACGAGGGAAAAGACGCGTGGCCTTTCGGGCGCCAGGCCCCCGGCGTCCGCTCGGCCCTGGCGATGCCCCGCCCAGGGGAACATACTGCGGGCGAGTCCACGGCCGGAAGAGCCCCGCATCGCCGGGCAGGGTCACGGCCGAGGCCAGTCGGAAGGGCAACACATCGACAGGGGCCAAGTGCGGATCGTGGCCAGAGCCCGGGCCGGCCGGGGGGCTGGGCGGCGGCGGCGGCGGCGACGGCGGCGGCGGCGGCGATCCCCCACCTAGAGATACCGGGCGCCGGAGGAGGAGCCGTCTCTCGCTGGACCGCGGGCCATCACCGGTCATGCGCGCTTGCCGATCGCCGTGCTGGGGCCTTGTCAGAGAGAGGGAGAGGGAGGGAGAGAAGGAGGCAGGGAGGGGGCTCCGCGACAGAGAAACAACACCAGGGGCTCTGGCTGGGGGGGGGGGGGGGGCACCCACAAGGGAGGAGCTGGCTCGGCGGTGGATGGTGGGGCGGGAGGGGAAAGAGGGCCGGCGACCGAGGGCCGAGCGCGATGCAGGACAGGAGCAAGGGATCTGGGCAGAGGGGACGGGAGTACGGTCGTGGAGCTCCGCGGCCGCGAGGGCAACACCTGGCTATGAAAAATGCTCCCCCCCCCCCCCCCTGCCCCCTGGGCATCGCCAGGAGGGGCAGAGGGCCGGGAGACGGGCACCGGCGCCTGCCTACACCGGTACCAGGGTGGAAAAATGTTGGCTCGAGCCTGGACCTGCCAACTCATGGGCCGGCGTTAGGCACGTCGAAGCAACCGTCCTAGTTCGAGATCTCTCTGTCCGCGGGGGGGGGGGGGGCGAAGGGGCGCACCCAGCTTCGCCAGGCCGTTGCAATCGACCAGTGCACTTGTTGCGCACGTACGCCCAACGGCAGCAATATGAATGGGCCCGCGATGCCGGGCGTGGCGGCAGCCGCCCGCATCAGCCCCCTCCCCTGCCTCTCCTCCCCTTCCTTCCGGTTGCCAGCCTTCCTCCCCCTCCGCCTCCGTCCCCTGCCCCCCCCCCCTCCCCCCGATAGCGACGCAGCAGCCATGTCGGGTGCGCCTTTCACGATCGCCTCCAGCACGCACTACCCATCGCCAGCTCACTCGGTCCCCCCCCCGCCCCCCCGCCGCAGCCCCTCCCCATCCTGGTAAGAACCTGTCCGTGCAGCAGGTCTGCGACATGGTCCACCACTTGAACATCAACCCGGAGTCGCTCCACCGCGCGGGCATCGACGGCGAGAAGCTTCTCGGTGTGCGTCGGCCTCCCCGCCGAAACTCCCCCTCTTTGGCGTCATGCTCATGGTGTCCGGCTTCCTCTCTCTCTCTCTCTCCTGACCCCTCCTCCCGCCCACCCTCCCCTCCGAAGATGAATCCCGACGTCCTGGTCCACGACTTCGGCTATGCCCCGCCCGAGGCCGATGCCATCCTGCGGACCTTCCACAACCCGGAGCACGAGCGCCGCGAGCGCCGCCCCATGCGCCCGCGCAATCCCGAGGGCCAGCAGCCCACTCGCGGCATTGTCCAGGGAACCGAGGAAGACGCCGACCAGGTGCGCCCACAGATGTCCCTGCCGTGGTCTGGAACCGCTCCTGGGCCTTGGCCAGATGCCCAAGACCGGCAGCTCCGACGGGGATGGCAGGGGGAAGGGCAGCAGGATGCCGCTGCTTTTACTGACCAGCTCCCGACTGTCGCACAATGCCGGTAGCTTTTCGCCGACTCCGGCGACGCCTCGATCGCCAGCTTCCAGAACATGCCGGTCAACTGCACCGGCGAGAACATCCCGGCCCCGATCTCGGGCTTCGATCAGGCCGACTTCCCGGCGGGGCTCTACGAGAATGTCGTCCGGTCGCGGTACACCCAACCGTCGCCGGTCCAGGCGCATGCCATTCCGGTCATCGTGGCCGGTCGCGACCTGATGGCCTGTGCGCAAACCGGCTCCGGCAAGACCGCGGCCTTCCTCCTGCCGATTATCTCGCTCCTGATGAAGCAGGACCCCCTGCCGGCGCCGAAGGACCCCCGGTCGCGGGCCGTCCGCCCGCAGGCCATCGTTGTCTCGCCGACGCGCGAGCTGGCTTGCCAGATTTTCGACTCCTGCCGCAAGTACACCTACAAGACCCCGATTCGGCCGTGCGTCGTGTATGGCGGTGTGCATCATGAGCTTCAGATCGAGCAGATGACCAAGTACGGGGCCGACGTTCTGATTGCCACCCCCGGGCGTCTGCTTCATCTGCTGGAGACCCCGGGCCTGCTGGACATGTCCTTTGTCCGGTACGTCGAGCACGCCTGCTCATCCCTCCGCCTCTCCGGCGGCCGCCGCCCTCTTCAGCCTCCTTCAGCTCCTCGCCTTGAATCTTGCGCCCTCCTCTCTCCCGCCCTCCTCTCTCCCCCACCCCACCCTCTTTCTAATGGCCCATCTGCGCGTGATGCGGGACACATTGCTCCCCGCGTATCCGCGCCCCCCAAAGCTTCCTCGTGCTCGATGAGGCCGATCGGCTCCTGCACTTCGGCTTCGGCGACCAGGTCAACCAGCTGCTCAACTACCTGGACCCGGACTTTGTGCGAGTCATGATGTTCAGTGCCACCTTCCCGCCGGCCATCCAGCAATTGGCCCAGCGCATCCTCTCGCAGGATTACGTCTTCCTGAGCGTCGGCCGAGTCGGGTCCATGGCCTCCTCCATCGACCATGTGGTGGACTATGTCGAGGAGTCGGACAAGCATGCGGAGCTGGTCAACCACCTGCGTGACCTGCCGCCCAACCACCTGGTCATCGTCTTTGTGCAGACTCGCATCCAATCCGACTCGCTGATGAACTACCTCCTTCAGCTGGGCTTCCCCACCACCACCCTGCATGCGGACATGAGCCAGTACCACCGGGAGTACGAGCTGAATGAGTTCCTCACCCGGCGCAAGAGCATCCTCGTGGCCACCGATGTGGCCTCCCGCGGCTTGGACATCCCCAATGTGACGACCGTCATCAACTTCGACATGCCGGCCACCATCGACGATTACACCCACCGGGTGGGCCGTACCGGGCGCGTTGGCCGCAAGGGCCTGGCCATCAGCTTCTTCAATGACGCCGACACGGCCCTGGCCGGGCCGCTGCTGGATGCCCTGATGGAGGTGGGCGCCCCGATCCCCGAGTGGCTCGAGGCCTTGGCCCTGGAGAACCGTGGCCACGGCGGCCAGTCCCGCTACCGTCGGGGCGGCAACCACCACATTGATCGGGACATCCGTGGCCCGGCGGCCAGTGGCGGCGGCGGTGCCGCCCCCCGGGCCGGTGGCGCTGGCGTCTCCCACCAGATGCCCGCCGCCTCGGCCCCGGCCGCCTCCGGGTCTTCCGCTCAGGCCGCCCCTGTGTCGGCCACTCCCGCCACTTACGAGTCGATGAACCGGAGTCAGGAGACCTACTCCTCCTGGGACATTTGAGTGGCTTTGCCTTTTCTGCCCCTTCTTGGCTCCCCCTCCCTCGGCGAGCGCCCTCGGGCGCCCCATGCTCGCGCATAGCCGCGCTCATGTGCTTGTCCAGCCCTCCCGGCTGTTGGCTATACGAGATTCCCCAACACCCCATGCAGCAATACACACGGCACATGCATTCTCCATGCGATTCTTCGGACGACGGGCGAGTCGGTCGAGTGCACCGGCTTTCATCATGGCCCCTGCTGCCTGAAAGTGAGAGGCGGGGGAATGACCAGGCACAGGCCTGCCTGCCTGTTCGCTGCGGCCTTTGCCTTGCTCGGTGGCGGCGGAGCCGGCAAAGGGGCGCAATCCGGCAACCGGGCACCAGTCAGGGGTGGCCAACAATGTGCCTTTTGTGTCACGTGCACGTCAGGCGTGACGTACTCTGCGCATTTTCAGGATCCCCCTCGGCCCGCGAGGTGTGGCCCACCACGGTACCGGACCGGACCGGACGACACGGTGGCCGGCCAACGAAGAGGGGCGGACAATGCGGTGGCGATCCCTGTCCCCATCCCCTCCCATGCTGACACCCTGTGCTCGGGGCAGAGCCGGTCCTTGTTCCCCGCCCGGGAGGGGCGCCTCGGGGGTCGCGGGGCATTTTTCAGACACGCCGATTGCCCTCGCTCCGCCTCCGGAGGGACTGGCATCCGTAC